GTTGCTCTAAGACCTTGGACTTTCCTGTCTGATAAAAGTGTCTTTGTTAATTTGGAGGCCTTGGCCCAGATCCGATTGTGCACTGGGCAGGGGACCAGACAGTATCAGCTCAGACTCTGAAAGGACCCTCACTAGACGCCAGGGGAGCCATGAGTCATTCCACATCCCTGTGTGCCTCAGCCCGGGTAGGACTTAGGGGACCCCCAGGCTGCTTCAGTCACGCTGTCCCTCTGCCCTCAGCTGTGACTCTTCCCAAACTTTCAGATGTGTTGGGTTTTTGTCACCTTCACCTTTTTAAAAGATTAAGCAGTGGGTTTTATTTTGGCAAATTCATACATGTAGATAGCATCCTTTGAAAGGATTTCTTTGAATGAAAGAAATCTATCAGGAAGCACCCTCTGACCTGTCCATCTAGGATGGTGTCCCCCTACCCCCCACAATGTGAGGCTGTTGTCCCAGGGCTCCTTCAGCTCATCCTGTGGAGACACCTGGTTTCTGGCACCTCGCCATCTTTTTTATTTTTCCCTCTTCCATGTGAAGCACGTCCATAGTAGATTTCCAAGAAAAGGGCCTGGAGAGATACAATTCACCAAGACCCTAAGTGTCCAGACGCTTTCACTCTCCTCTGCCTCATGCATGGTTTCTCTTTGTGTAGAGTTCCCCTTGGAAGCTGTCCTTGCATGAGGTTGTGGCCACTGTCAGCCTACATTGCGCTCGCTGAGAACCCAGGTGGCTTTGACTGCTTACTCCTTGCCCCGTCTCCAGGACAGTGCTTTCCTTGAGCAACATCCTCTCTGTCTCCGCTGTTGGACCCTCATGACCTTCACTACCTAAAAATTTTCTAGGATTATTTCATTAAAATTTCCTTCTTCTTCTTTCCTTTACTTCTAGAACTCACAGAAAGAAAGTCTCTAAAGTCGGTGTCTTGGATGGTATTGTGTTTAATCATTTTTGATCTTTTCTCTCCCATTTTTATACTTTGTTTTTTACTCTATATTTCAGGAACTGTTAATGAATCCTTCATTTATATTTTAAAAAGCAAAGATCTTTTAATTTTTTTAGTTATAGCATGTTTTAAATGACTAAAATATTTTCTTTCTTTCATTCTCTGAGATCATCAGTTGTTACTTCAGTTTTTTTTTTTTAATCATTTTTTCCTGCACAGGCTCAGTTTATTGTATTACTCTTGTCTGTTTCTCGCTCTTCCATGTTAGAAGTCTTCCTCGGCTGCCTGGCGGGCTTGGCTGTCTGTTCGTATGTGCCAGTGGGTGACTCAGAAGCACTCTGAGTTATAAATGTGTGGATTGACTTTGTCCTGGGGTCATCTGGCTGAGCCGCTTCCTTAAGGAGCCCCAAACTCGGTGTTTCAGTTTGTCCTTTGGGCTGCTCAGAAGGGTCTTGTTTCCGGTGTGGTTGCCCTGTCCTCAGCTGTCCCTTGTCACGTTCCACTGGCAGGGTGACTGATCCGAGCAGTTTCTGAGCACTGGGGAGTTGGGAAGCACACCCTGGGTTAAATGTCCTGTTTCCTATGCAGCTCTGCTCTTGGTCCGCTAAGCCAGTGACTCCTGCCTGTCATCCTTTCAGCTTTCCGAAAGTTGGATACTGTTTTCTTCTGATCTGTGTGTGTGCGTGCATGTGTGCATGCATGTTGGGGCCTTTGCACTGAGCTGATCTTAAACTTGTGATCCTCCTGCCTCTGCCTCCCAGGGATTATAAATGTGCACCACCCCACCGGCCTTAGGTTTATATATCTTTTGTAAAACGCCCTTGCTGTCATTTTAGGTGGGGTTTCAAGAGAAAGTAAACTTCATGTGTTTGTTGAATCTACCAGTTTTAATTGAATCTTGGCATGCAGCATGTGTAGTAATACGGAGCCTTTGTGCTCACTGCGCTGTGTAACGGTTTTCTCTGTGAGAGGTGAGACAGCAGCGAGTGGCTGTGGGGCCCTGGCAGTGGGGCCGCATGGGTGCATCCGGCCATGGACGTGCTGCTCGGCGCTGTCTTTGAGATCATCTGTGACCTTTTGAGTTATTTGTCATTCTGCATAGACTTAGCTCTTCCCAGACTGTTGGATCGGAAGGATTCCTGCAGCAGGCTGACCTGGAGTCTCAGGACATTTAACCTCCAAGTATGATTTGGGTTTTGGTTCTGTGTGTCCAGCTGTCTCTCACCAGTGTGTGTCAGTCATACTCAGTTTTGCCCTTTAGCTTCTGCCTTATGCATGAAACAGCTTGGCTTTTTCAGAGCTGCTTTATTCTCAGATTGTCCTGGGAGGGCATATGTAGATTCAGTCTGGGCTCAGTGTAATCTCAGGGTCCTACTGTTGCAGACCTACTACGCCTCCACCCCCAGTTTAGAGCAGAGTCCTGATCTGTGGTGTGGCCATATTAAGAGATGGGATTTCTAATTAAATAAACTTGTAAAGATGAGTCCCTGATCTCATAGGACCCTGGAAGGGTGGTGCTCACCTGTAAGTCCAGTGCTCTGGGAGGCTGAGATAGGAGGATTACAAGTTGGAGTTCAGCCTGGGCAGTTAGTGACTTAGCAAGACCCTTTCTCAAAATAAAAAAGAAAAGGGCTGAGAATGTAGGTCGTTGTGAAGGCCCTGGTTTCAATCCCTAGTAATGAAAATAAAGAGGGACAAACATATCCTGGCCAGCATAGTGGTTTACCCTCTTCCTGGGTACCCAAACCAAGCAAAGGCAGGAGAGGAGAAAGCCACCTGCAAGTCGGAAGGTTTCTGCTCTGGGAGCCTTTTGTTGGACTGACTCATAGCACTCAGAACGGTGAGGAATATTATGTTCCTGTTGTTGAAGTAGCCGGGACACTGTGACAAGTATGCCTGTTTTGTGGTACAGCAACTTGGTCTTCCACGTTGTTTTCTTAGATGTTGCCATCATCAGATTTAAGCTTTCAACTGATATATCTGTGTGACAGTTTCTTCCATTTAGCCCTGACCTGAGCCCTAACCTGATGTGGCCTGTGCACAACCTCACAGCGCATGCTCTGTTGTCAGGTCACTGTTTTGAACCCTGGTGGGCCCTGCAGTTGGCCCTCCATAAATGCTGATAGGAGGGGTGTTAAAAGGCTCACTGTGGCCTCATCTCACTGACGTGTGTCAGTGATGTGCCTCTCCCTGTCTAGTCAGGAAGTCACCCTCTGTCAGGTGTGCAGTACCTTCTGGTACGAGTGCACTGTGCAGCAGTCCCTGTGAGACTATGGAGCCAGGCAGCTGCTTTTTGTCCTGTCTCCCAGGATGTCAGGGACAGGTGTCACATCAAAGGGTCCTCTAGCTCTGTTCAGAGGTGAGGAGGAAAAGCCTGGGTGCACGGGGTCACCCAGGAGTGAGACAGTGCGCTGCTGGGTTCCTGCTCCACACAGGGAGGACCCATGCAGAGAGGCTCTGTCATGGTCTGAGGGGTTCCAGAAAACCTCCTGGAGCAAAGGATGAGGAGACCTGGAGCATAAGTTGATATGAATCACAGAGGGAACAGCGCCAGGAGTTGGCAAGGATACAGCAAGCTGGGTGTAGGGGGAGCACACCTGCAGTCCGAGCAACTCTGGAAGGCTTGAGGCAGGAGGATTGTGCATTTGAACTAAGCCTGGGCAACTTAACACCTTTGCAAGATCCTGTCTCAAAATTTTAAAAGGTTGGGGATGTAGCTCAGTGTAAAGGCCCTGGACTCAGTCCCCAGCACTGCATAAATTAAAGGAGGAAGGGAGAGACAGCTCATGAAGAGCCTCCAGATATAGGTCTGGCACACAGACTGTATTCTCTGCAGCATTTCTGTATTTCTGTGCATACTCTCAGGGGTCTATTGGGGTGGGAGAAGTCCAGACTGGAATCAGAGCAATGATTTGAAGATTTCCTTAGTCCAAAGTAAGGGGCTGTGTTCAGCGACATTGGCCTCTGGTGACCGAGAGGCTACTCTAGAAGAGGGCATGCGTCTGGCCGTTTGGGGGTGTGACGGCCTGGGAAAGATGGACACCTTCAGCTGCGCAGTCCTGAGGCTCGACACCTGGGAGTGACAGTGACTGCTCTCACAGTGGTGGGGACACTCGGGCAGTCACCACAGGCAGGAAGATGGCAATGTGGACTTCGCACCTCGGCTAAGAGCGTTCACAGAGCCCTGGGCACTGTTCCAAGGAATGGGCTTACTGCAAGAAAAGTCTCAACATTCATAGATAGGCCAATTACAGGCTCACATTTATTTGGATCTTAACTGCTGCATAAAAAATCAGATGCTATTTAAGTTCAGCATATTTTAATACTCTGAATCCAGGAACCTATATGTTTTCAGTATTCTTTTTAGCTGGAACAGGAAACTATTTCTTGACTTGTTCATAGAGTTAACCAGATTTCTTTTTTTCTCATTAAGACAGTAGTACAAGAAATACTTACTTGTCTTTTTAAAGTCAAGTTTCAACCTATTAGTTATACATTTACTCTAGTGAATGCCAAACAGATGCTCTGAATTAAAACCCTCGCAGTTCAGTGTGGGTTTCTTGCAGAGCCTCCTTGGTTTTCTTTTTGTTTTCTTCATTCCGGGTCATTATTGTACAGTGACTTTGGAGAAGCAATTTCCTTGAGAGTACAAATTGGATTATTCCCCTTTATTGAATTGAAATTCTTAACAAGGATTTCTACTAATGAGATATTGTATGCATGTGAGGCTGGAAAGGCTCGTTTGAGTCATTTAGTTAGTGTTTCGGAATTAGAAGTCATTGATTAAAGCTTTACTATTAGCTCATACAGAATTCAGTAATAAAACAGCTTCCTCGAGCTACTGCTGACACAGCCATGAAAATCTGAGGGACAAGAAGCCCTCCCTCTACTCCAGCTCTTGTGCTTTTGGAGGGAACCATATTTGGGATGTATAAAAGTTTTTAACATGATTGAGAAAAACAAGCTTATTTGTGATTTTTTTTGTTTTTGTTTTTAGTATTTTTTTTTCCTGTGGATATTTTTCCTTCTGGCCTGACAACTTTTTTCTTTCCAGTACAAGATTGATGGAGAATGGTGGACGTGGATTGATTATAACCGCTTCCAGGAACTCATCCAGGAATATGAAGATAGCGGAGAATCCAGAACTTTCCGTGCAGAGGATTACATGGCCCGAACTCCTCACTGGGCCTTGTTTGGTGCCAGAGAAAGAGGCTTTGATCCCAAGGACATGAGACACCAGAGGAAGAGCGGATCAAAAAACATTGCTGGACATTGAGCTTGTCTGATGTCATCATGCTAAAGGACAAGGACGGTGGATCCAGAATGTCCTTAGACTCCCGTGACTTCCCAGAACAAATCCTGCCACTTAGATGTCATCCAGACAGAATGCAAGTCGTGCGACTAGGCTGGAGGGACAGCACCCACCCGTTGAGTTTCTAGACTTGGCCCCAATGTTTCTTGCCAGAACTCGGGCCCCTTCCTGATTATTTCTGAGCTGAACATCATTTTGTGGGGGAGGGGAAGACAGTCATTATTGGAACTTAATTAATACTTTTGAGTCATGTTTTAGTGAGACTTTCTAAACTACTATTCATGAGTGTTGTGTTAGGAATAAACAGCTATGCCTCTTCTTCGTTCTGGGTTTTTGGTTTTTTGTGGAGCAGCCATTTAGCATTGAGTTGTGCCACGCTGAGCTAATGCATCTGCTCCAAGATCAGCACTGTCCTTTCCTGATGCCTTTATACAATACCTCCTGGAAATAATTTGAGTTGTCACAATTTTCAAATATTCTTAAATACTGCACCAATTGCATTAACATTTTGCTTTTTACCAACCACATATCAAATTGTTTTGGATCTTACATGGCACTGGATCCCCCTGTTCCCATACAGATTTTATGGGCAGGGACAGAACAGAAGCCCTGTCACTGAGAGAGATCCCTTGATGGTTGCACTGAGTACTTAGCCTCAGCAGCACACTCTGGAGTGAGGAGTCTACAGAGTTGTGAAGGCTACGTCCAGCTCTTCACCACAGGCAGGCCGCCATCTTTGTTCACTCCTGTGGCCCTCGCTGCTCCCCACAACCCATTCTTTAAGATTTGGATTGTTTCTAGCTAAAAACATCATACTTACTATTTTTACTCCAGGTTGTCAAAGTTATTTTAAAATTCTCTTATCCAAAAAGTTAAATTAATAAAGGTCTTTTATAAAGACTTCAGGCATGAATATTCTTTTATGTGCTTAAAGAGCCCTCTGGTCACATGGTTCTGAGCCTTATCAGACCCGCCTTCTCACATAGCAGCCATTTTGTCAGTGCTTCTATTCTGTGTTGAACTAAAATAAATCCACAGATGATATAATATACCCACTTAGTTGAACACTGGGTGCCATCTTTATTTTGAAGTGGAAGAGTCAAGATGCTTTTTTCTGCTGTGACATGGGATGGTGAATACAGGAAAAACCAGCCTTTGCTTTCTGTGTTTATACCATTCTCAGTATTTCAATTCTGACCCTGGGTGTGCAGAGGTGGAGGCCCACCACTCCTCCCTTCTTGGGTTTGTAATTTGCTACAGGGCTCATAGAACCCAGGACAACAGAATACTTCCTTTGCTGATTTACAAAGAATCTTTTAAAGGATACAGAGCAACAGCCAGATGAACGGATACATAGGGCGAGGTCTGGAGGGCCCCCAAGTGCAGGAGCTTCTGTCCCTGCAGCGCCTCCCCATGTTGACGTGGATTTGTTGAGCATGGCAGAAACTCTCTGACCCCATAGTGCAGGAGCATCCATCAGAACTGGGAAAGAGAATGTGAGAAGAAAAGATCACTGAGCATGCAGGGATTATAAGGGCCCTAGAGTTTCAGGCCAGACAGAGGGACAGAGACTAAGTACCTGTTTTTTATTATGTCAGTTTTGGCATAGTGACATATCACAGAAATCCTGTCTTAAACCCAGAACATCTTCAGGCTATATGTAGTCCCTTGTCCTGACTTAATGACAGTCAAGTGACCAAGGGTAGCGAGGTAGAATCAAAGTAGTTAGTGGTTGCCAAAGAGAGATGAAAAATACCTTCAGCCAGGCCTGGTGGCACAAGCCTGTAATCCCAGAAGTCTGGGAGGCTGAGGCAGGAAGATCATAAATTCGAACCTAGTTGGGCAACTTAGTGATTTAGTGAGACCCTGTCTCAAAATAAAGAAGGGTTGGAAATGTAGATCAATGTGAAGGTCCTAGGTTCAATTCCTAGTACTGGAAAACAAGCACCTTCAGGTAGAATGGAGTGTTAAAAAACCAGAGTTCACGCGGACGAGCCCACAGATGGACTCCTGTGTAGGTGGCCAGCTGTTGGAAGCATCTGCAGGGGCTGCCCTGGGAGTGAATCTTGAAGGCCAGGCATGTGTGGCTGGGCCAGCTCTCAACCTCTTCAGCCAGCACAGTCTCGGTTTATTATGAATTGAGGCCTTGCTTGAGATTCAACTTGAAGATATTTTGTTGCTTCAGATGATAAGAAAAACAAAACCCCTCACCTACTGAAGTGCTGAGGCTCTGGGCCCATTAGCTTTAGGTACATAAATGACTGTTCTTTTATGTCAGAACATATTGATCTGCTGCTTCCTATTAAAAAAAATAAGTAGCACGACACATTAATCCCGGCTCATAGTAACAGCGGAAAATGTAAAATGCCTTGGGGAAGATACAGTGGACTATACATGGGAAAAATGAATAAGTTAGCTAAGAATATAAAGGTAAAATGGAAGCCCTGAGTGTGCTGAGGAGGTGACCTCATTTTCAATAACATTTATTTTTTGGTGTTTAAGTAAATGGTTCCAACATTGAATTGAAGAATTAGCCAAATAGGTGGGACTAGTTCAGAAACTTTAGGAGAAAAAAATCTGTGAAAAAAAAAGTTGCTTTAAGGCTGGGGATTTAGCTCAGTGGTTACACCGCCTGCTTTGCAAGCGCAAGGTCCCAAGTTCGATCCGTGGTACCACAAAAAAAAAAAAAAAGAAAAGTTGCTTTATAAGATATCAATCTTGTTAACTAAGTAATTAAAATGGTTTGAGATCAGTTTCTACCGTAACAGAGTAAGGGTTGTAGTGAAATTTTCTCTTCCCCTAAAACGGTGAGAGTATGGGCCAAACAATTAAAACCAGCCAACGTGAGAATCCTAAAAATCAACCAAGGCTCCACTAAAACTGCAGATCACCCCATAAAAGGAAACCACTAATTCTTCATAAAATTAGCAGTTGGTTTCTCATCAGAAAACTTGGCGACTAGAAGATAGTGGGGTAAAATAGACAAGTTCATTTGTTAAAGGAGATATTATGATGTTGGCAGATGAACAAGAAGTGAGAGAATTTCAGCACTAGCAGAACTTCCCTGGAAGAAATACTGGCTTGCCTTGGGCTGTAAGGAAAGGACAGTAGACCTTAACTTGAACCCATATGAAGAAATAAAGAGCTCTGGTAAGCATAACTATATCTGAATTATGAAAGACTAGAAATATTTTTATTTGTAATATTTTCTTTTTTTAAAAGACAATTGCCTAAACCAATACATATAAACCTGCATTGACTTTGGTTTAATAATGTTGTTTTGTTTATTTAAGAAACTATATTGATTGACTTACAGTGTATGTTATTTACATAATAATAGCATAAAGGAATGCGTGAAAATGAATTCATGAAGTAAAATGCACTACCTTAACTATTTTGGAACAACTTGACATTCAGCTGATATAAATCCAAAATAGATTGTTCTAAGATGCTAATTGTAACTTTCAGGATGATCACTAGGAGAATAAATTTTAAAATGCAGTAGAAGAAACAAGGGAATGAAACACACACCAGAAAATATTTGACACAAAAGAAGGCAGCAATGAACGAGAACTACGTAGTCAAAAGACATTTTAAAAACAAATAATGGACATAAATCCTACCTGATAAATATTTTTTTAGATAACTATTATGTCTTACAAATGGCAGAATGAACTACAGTAATAATAAATGGATTAAAAAAACTGACTATATGCTGTCTACAAGAGACCTTAAGAGAGAAATAAAGTAAAAGAATGGAAAAAGCTGTATTATGAAAGCAGTCTCCAAATGACAACTGAGATAGATACACCAATACCTAAGAAAGACTTATGAAGAAAAATTTTGCTGAAACCAAAGTACATTATATGATTTTAAGAGGGCCAATTTACTAGAATGACAAGCTGATTATAAATGTGTGTACATCTAGCAGCAGAGCCCCAAAACACATAAAAGCAAAAACCTTTAATTCAACTAAAAACAAAAACAAAACAACCCTGCTAGTTTTTGGAATGCAGACAATTAAGCAGTTAATAGTCTGAGACTTGTATGCCCCATTTCCAATAAGAGGACAACTAGTCAGAGATTTGAGTAGCACTGTTCACCAACCACACCAACCCTCTGAGAACACTGCAGCCACAGTGCCTTATTACCAAGTACACACTGAGCGTCATCCAAGACAGCCAAATCTTAGGCCGGATAATAAGTCCGAAAGGAAGTAGATCCGAAAGGGTGGAAATCATACAAGATATGCTATTAGCAGAAAGGAGTTAGAAATCAGCAATAGGAGAAAAATGGAGACATTCACAAATGTGTAAGAGCTAACTGAGATCCTAAATAACTAAAGGGTTAAAGACATCAAAAGACAAATTAGAAAATATTTTAGAAAACGGAAAACAAAAACATCATACCAAAACTTCTGAAATATTACTATTGCATGAGTAAGAGGGACATTTATAGTTGCCAGTACTTACATTGAAAAAAGTTACGTGATGAAAAAAAGAAATTAAGCTGTGTTATGTACATGTACCAACTCCACACAAGGAGTGTAAACATTGTGTGCTGCAAATAGGTACTGATAAAAATAAATGAAAAAAAGTGTATCTCAAATCAATGGCCTAACCTTCCACCTTAAGAAAAGTAAACTAAAAAGAACAGCAAACTAAGCTGAAAGCAAACAGAAAGAAGCAAGTAATAAACATTAGAGTGGAAATAAATTAAATAGGGAAAGAAAAACTTGGAAGAAAATCACTGAAATCAAAAGTTCTTTAAAAACTTCAGCAAGGCTGTCATGGTGGCACACACCTGTAATCACATCACTCTGGGAGGCTGAAGCAGGAAGGCCTATCTCATCTCGTGCAAATTGAGATTGACCCTTACACTTGGGTCAAATTGTTACTTGACAAGGTCACATTGTTCAGTGAAGACTGGTGAACAGAGGACACAGGACCTGAAGTTTCCCTGGTGAGGGTGTGTGGATGCCCACAAACAGGTAGAACCATTCACTTTCTCCTGTACTATGGCTGGGAGCCAAATGTCCCCTGCCCAGAGTCTCATTGTGGCAAAGGCTTGGTTGCTGTCTGATAGGACTTAAATGCCAGTCCCATAGATATGAAGTCAATTATCAAATGTGATTTGAATTCTTTTTGGTACTGGAGATCAAACTTGGTACCTTAAGCTTGCCAGGCAGGCGGCGGAACCATTGAGCTAAATCCCCAGCCCAATGTAATTTGGATTCTGAGGTACTTGATTTATTAGTTTGAAACACGAACCTTGAACTCCTGATAATCCTCTTCCCTCAGCCAAGACTTGTATTTATTTTTTTATTTGAAAAGGAAGAAGTAAAATTTTTTTATTCACAGATTATATATGTTAAAAAACCCTATGGGACCTATAGAAGAGCTAGTAGAACTAATGCATTTCTCAAAATATATATGTCTATGTTCTAGCAAAGGGTAATTGGACATTGAAATTTAAAATACCATTTACCATTAAAAAAAAAAACTAATAAGAATTATATTAGTCTCCCCTATTTGTGGTTTCACATTCCATGATTTCCCCTTCCATGGCTTCAGTTATAGTTAACTATAGTACAAAAATATGAATGGAAAATTATACAAGAAATTCTTAGAATTTTAAATTGTCATTGTGTAAATAGTTTGAGGAAATCTCAAACCACCTTGCTCCATCCCAGCCAGAATGTATGTTATTCCCCAGTGTATCCATGCTGTATATGCTATCCACCCTTTGGCAACTGAGAGACTGCATTCACATAGCTTTGTTACACTATATTGCTATAGTTCTCCTATATTATTTTTGCTGTTAATCTATTAGTGCTCCTAATTTATAAATAAAAGTTTATCAGAGGTACATAGGTATGCATGTTTAGAAAAAACATGTAATCAGTACTATCCATGGTTCCAAGCATCCATCTGAGATTCTTGGACTGTATGGTCTACAGAGAAGGTGGAATTAATGGATA